AAGACCACACTAAACCTGGAAGAATGGTAAGCTGTTAGGAAATCTAAAAGGACATTGACAAGCTGGTGGAATGGATGGGTAAGTAGCAGATGAGGTTCAATGCAGAGAAGTGTGAGGTGATGCAATTTAGTCTGAAGAACACTAAAAGATAAAAAGGGTACGATTCTAAACGGGGCGCAGGAGCAGTGGGACTTGGGTATACGTGTACGAATCACAGTTGGAGGAAGTAGTAATTAGTGTTCTCAGATTTATTGATAGGGACGTATAGTACAAGAGTAAGGAGGTGAAGTATTGTGTAGAGATAACACAGTGTGGAGCTGGAGGAACACAACAGGCCAGGCAGCATCAGAGCATCAGGAAAGTTGACGTTTTGGGTCGGGACCCTTCTTCAGAAACCCAAAATCTCAACCTTCCTGCTCCTCTGATGCTGCCTGGGCCTGCTGCGTTCCTCCAGCTCCACACTGTGTTATCTCTGACTCCAGCATCTTCAGTTCTTACTATCTCTGAGTGAAGTATTGTGTAGAGTTGTGGATGGCACATTATAAGATAGATATGAATTGGAGAGAGGGAAGTCATAGAGTCATACAGCAAGGAAACAGATGGTTCATTCCAACTCACCAACCAGGTGTCCTAAATCGATCTAGTCCCATTTGCCAGCCTTTGACCCATATCCCTCTAAACCCTTCCTATACATGTATTCTGCCGATGCCTTTTAAATGTTGTCATTGTACCAGCCTCCTCCACTTTCTCTGGCAGCTGTTTCCATACACGCACCACCCTCTGTGTGAAAGAGGTGCCCTCAGGTCCCATTTAAATCTTTCCATCTCACCTTAAACCTGTGCCCTCTATCTTGGGACTCCCCTATACTCGGGAAAAAGACCTTGGCTATTCACCCTAACCATGCCCCTCTTTAGGTTCAGAAGAGGTTGTCTAAGGAGCCTAAGTTACTGCTCTGCCTTTTGTAGATCCTACACAAAGCTACCAATGTGCATCAATAGTGGAGTGCGTGAATGTTGAAGGTGGTGGTTTGGGTGCAATAAGCTTCTGTGTGAGATTGAAGAAGTTGGGATCGTCTCCCCCTGCAGAAGGTGGCTGAGAGGCAATCTGATTGAGATTTTCACTGTCATGAGGGAGCTGGACAGAATAGGTCAGATGAAGGTACTCCTGCTTGTAAAAGCAACAAGAATGACAGGGCACAGATTTAAAGTGATTTCAAAGGAAGATGTGGAGACAGAATAAAACCTTTCCACACAGCAGGTTACACGGGTATGGAATGCACAGCCTGAAAGTGTCAATTAAGACATTCAAGAGGGCATTGGATGGCTTCATAGAATAGAATAGAATCCCTACAGAGTGGAAACAGGCCCTTCGGCCCAACAAGTCCACACCGACTCTCAGAACACCCACCCAAACCCATCCCCCTATAACCCACCTAACCTACACATCCCTGAACACTGCGGGCAATTTAGCATGGCCAATCCACCTAGCCTGCACATCTTTGGACTGTGGGAGGAAACCGGAGCACCCAGAGGAAACCCACGCAGACACGGGGAGAATGTGCAAACTCCTCACAGACTGTCGCCTGAGGGTGGAATCGAACCCAGGCCCCTGGCGCTGTGAGGCAGCAGTGCTAACCACTGAGCCACCTTGCTGCTTCTTTGGATATTAATGGTGTGCAGGGAAATAGGGAAAATGCAGGAGACTGGCACTAGGTAATAGAGCCTGTGAGGGCATGATATGCCAAACAGCCTCCTCCTGCACTGTAATATTTCTGTGATATTGCAGCTTCAAAATATAAAAGGCAAGAACAGAAAAAGGGATGACTAGTACAAGGCTAACATCATGGAAATGGAACCGCTCCTTGAAGCCAAGCAGTCTGCTCTCATTAATTACAAGAGAAACAAGCAAGAAGATTCCGAATAAACTAGGAGCCATTCAAAGTAAAGCCCAAAAGAATTCTAAGCAGTGTTTGGTTACACTCATTGGATGGATAATGAGCAAATACCCAAAGATCTCTGGTAGTGTCAACTAGCCACTAGATCATGCTCCTGAGTGTCCATACCTCTGCAGAAAGGACACTTGTGAGCGAGATATGACGAGGGCAAATACTATCGGTCACGGATAGTGGCTTCCTTTGGAGGCTAACTCTTGAGAAAGGCAGTTGAAGAGATGAATAGAAACAAAAAAGCTCTAGGGTGGGTGAGTTCAAAACTTGGGGGCATATTTTTAAGGTAAGAGTAGAGAGATTTTAAAGGGACCAGGGGGACAACTTTTTCACGCAGAGGGTGGTCTGTATGTGGAATGAACTGCCAGAGGATGTGATAGATACAAGTACAGTTACAACATTTAAAAGACTTTTGGGCAGGTACATGAATAGGAAAGGTTGAGAGGGAAATGGGCCAAATGCAGAAAAGTGGGACTAGTTTAGTTTGGGAAACGTGGTCATCGTGGATGAGTTGGACTGAAGGGTCTGTTTCCATGCTGCATGACTCTATGAATACAGAGCTGACCATTAGCAAGCGACCGAAGTAGTGTCTTATAAGGCTGCTACTTTGTTGTTCAGGATAAGGAAATACACAACAAGCAATCAACTACAAACACAAAATGCTGGAGAAGCTCAGCAGGTCTAGCAGCGTCAGTGGAAAGAAACAGAGTTAACAATTCAAGTCTGGTCTGATTCTTCTTCAAAACCAGAATGAAACAGCTGTCCCTTTCCTCTGAAATCACACTTCCATTTGTTCCTGTTTATCAAATTCGCTGCACCTGTCTCCTACTGCATCTTCATTGTTGCTTTCACCATTTAGTCTTCAACACTGATCTCTCCAAAAACATATGCAAGCCAAACATGGGACAAGAGAGCTGAATTCTAGAGGGGAGATTACAGTGATCTGACCTGAACATCAAGCTGACACTGGACTCAGTGTTGCATCAGGGAACCCTGGAGAAATTGAAGCCAACGGGAATCGGAGACAAATTCTGCACTGGTTACAGCCAGACATTGTCTGTGGATGTTGGAAGGCATCTCAGTTAGCAGGTCATCACTGCCCAGAATCCTCAGGACAGTGCCAATCATCTTTCATTGTTTTTTGAACAAATGTTGAAACATGCAAAGTCTACCACTGAAAAGAACAAGAGTACCTAACATAAAAGTTCAGTTTGGGATTATGTTGGGCATGGACCGTTCGGACCGAAGGGTCTGTTTCCGTGCTGTATGACTTTTTGACTCTATAAGGGAACACCGTGACCTGCAAGTTCTCTTACAAGCTGTACACAGTCATACTTTGGGGATATAACACAGCTCCTTCACTGCCGCTAGATTAAAATCCCAGAATATACTCCCTCAAAGTATTATGGGTATAACTAACACCAGGTTGGCTGGAGTTCTTCATGAAGAAGCTCACCCCCATCAGCTCAAGGGAAATTAAGCATTAGAAACAAGCACCAGCCTTGCCAGCAACAAAACGACCCCATGACAGAATGAAGAAGGGAACTTGTTCTTTTGTCCCTTACCAGCTACACTAACGGAGTCACATTATTCCAAATTAGGATAATGTTGTCATGTGATCTTTGCCCATTAAAACATTGTTACCTCCAGACAAAGACATTGCAAATGAAGTGGCCTGATTGAACTCCACCTAAAGCGGCAGAAATCGTCATCTAATTGATAAACTTATACTGTCACGACAACACTGTCTGCAACCACCATTATTACTGTTGAAAATCGACAACAAGCTCTGGCATCTGTGTGTGCAGAATTAAATGTGGAAATTGGGTAGTTTCCATCAGAGATAGCCTGCAACCCCACTGGGTGGTTTTTACTGTCTTCATAGATGCAATCAGTACAAAAAAAAAATCAGTGAACTGCAACTGGTACACCATGGAAACCACAGCAAACATTATGTCTCGTACAATGAGGTGTAACTTCATTTTTAAACAGAGCACTAGGATATGAAACAAAAACAGAAATTGCTGGAAAAGCTCAGCAGGTCTGGCAGCATCTGTGGAGAGAAATCAGAGTTAGCGTTTCAGGTCCAGTGACCCTTCCACAGGACCCGAGGGTCACCGTGCCTCAGGTGAGGGGAGAGATTAAGTAGAAAGTGTTCTGAGGAAGGGACACTCGACCTGAAACTTTAAATCTGATTTCTCTCCACAGGTGCAGCCAGACCTGCTGAGCTTTTCCAGAAATTTCTGTTTTAGTTTCTGATTTACAGCATCCACAGTTCTTTCAGGTTTTTGCTAGGATATGAATGCTGTTGAGCAACCCATCTGGCCCAAAAAGTAGCATTAGAATTCTTAAGTGTAATTTGCTCCATTATGTGCTCAGTAAAATTCTATAATTTTAACAAACAATAACATTTCTTTCAGGGGTATCATATTCCAGCTTCAGGGGCTCGGCTAGCTCACTTTGTTGGACAGCAGGTTGGCAATACAGAGTAATGTCCCCAGCACGGGCTCAATTCCCACACTGGCTGTGGTTACAACAAAGGTCTCTCCCTTTACAACCTCTCCCCTCACCCAATGCATAGTGACCATCAGGTTAAACCACCACCAATGCTCTAAGGGGAGAGCAACCCTGTAGTCTACTACGGCCTACTTTACCTTATTTCAGCTTCATTCCTGATCTCATATGCATGTTCCGGCCTTTAATTTACTTTATGTAAAATTACTAAAAACAAAACATGAATGGTAGCCATTGCTTTTAAATTCCTCATTTGCTATCCATGATAATTTGTTGTCAATTGGATAGGCTGCTCAGCACACTTGGTGACTTCACTCTTCTTAGATAACAGAAATCCGAGAGAGGTGATAGTAGAATGTTGTAATAGGGGAAGTTGTAGGTAGTTTCCTTTGAAGTCAGGGGTGATTGTCGGACCTTTGCTGCTGAACACTAAATCCTGACCAACATTGATTTCAAATCATAACAGCCCACAACTTTAAAAGACAAAATGATCGAAAAACTCCAAAGAAAGAGAAATGTGACAAATAAATTAAACCCTGACCTGTTGTGGCAGGTGAAGAACTGTGTATTCCTCAGAGTTGAATACCGAAAGGGCCTTGTACGCTGAGCAAGCTATAAGCGAGTTCTACAAGGAACAACAGGAATTTCTGTTTGCATACCATTCGGAAAATAATAGCTCATTGTCAAAATCTGATCACAGTATATTTTTGGATCAAAAATGCCTTCATACTGTAGCAATTTTAAATCCCAAGCTGTAAAATAGGTAACAGAAATTTTAATTCTTACAAGTAAATTGCTTCATCATAACAATTGCCAATAAACAATTTTTGATAACGTGATTTTTTTAGATGGGTAAAGTGCTACTTAAACCACAGAACAGTAACCCAGGGCAAGGACAAAAGCCTACAATGTAAATTCAAACCACACCACAGCAGCTTAAGAATCAAGTTATTTGACAACAGTTTTGCGCTATCATTCCAGTTCAACATATCATTCTGGATCAGAAGGATTTCATTTTTCTTCTAGAACATTCTAACCCATGAATCGGTCAACCCTTCTATGCTGTGTTATGAACAACTGATCAACCTAAAAAGATGACAAACAATGTGTGATGGCATGGAGCGAACCCTGTAAACTGCAATGGCTATGAAATTAGTTGCCAAGTGCAGAGCTTCTGAATTAGTCATGGACAGATCAATAGACATCTAATGCAGAGTAATATTCTGACTAAGTGTTAATCTTTATAACACATATGTAAGTCCCATCTGTTACACTAACAACCTCTTATTTAGTTAGCAGGATGTGGGTTAATTATACCTTACTCTGGGTATGGCTCCACAGTATGCTTATAACTTGTGCTCTGAATTTCTGTGGAGAAAACAAAAAAAACCTCATAAATAACTGTAATCTGCAAGTGTAGATCAATCTAAAAACATAGGCTGTGCATAAATTTACAACAAGCCAACAATGGGCATTCAAAACAAATTCTCAACAAAACATTCAAGATACAAACAAGCAGACTGGTACAATTCTTAAAAATCTGACAAGACTACTGTTAACTTTCTATTATTCTACCTATAGGAGACAATCAACATACCTATTATTATTCTAAATACTCTTCTGGCCTACCTAAATGGACCACTACATTTCTAAATTGTGCTAAATAATTAGTACAATATTGGTGTACTTTTCCCAAGTTAATCAAGTGCCTTTATAATTTGCAGTTGATCTTAGCACCCCACTGGAAAGAACAGGCCTGTGTCTATTAAGCTGATCGGTGATGTCCCTCATTACACACAGAGAGTAATTATTTGAACATGGTTTCAGTGGGAGCTCCATAACTTCGAACCTGACCTGAGCTAAAGTCAACATCTTCAGAAGCATACAGCAGGAACCCGAGGTATGAGAAGGTTTAACGTGAACAGA